TTGTTGTAGGTTTTTTTGGGCTATATAGCCATGGTCTAGAGGCATTCTCTCCAGGTATGGTTTGTTTTTTAATAATAGTCTTGCCTTTAAGCAGGATCCTGAGCTGTGTGTTTTCCTGCCTCTATGGTTGAGCAACCTAGGCACAGTAAGATATTGTGGTTGGGCAAAGAAGTGCCTCTCAAACTAAAATTACCAGTGACCAGAGCCCTGTCTTCCATGCTACTCATTCTTTGCAAGCCTGGCAGATACAACTCTGTGCTTTATAGACACAGTTCTTCATTCATGGAGTCAACCATCCACAGGACACCATTTTGCTGCACCCTTGTATTTATCCATGAATATCCATGGATTTTGGTATACATAGAAGGTCCTGGAACCAAACATCATGGGTATCCTGTGTTTTAATTTTTATATGGCACCTTAATTCGTGTTTTAATGTATATGTTTATATTTGTTGTTGATGTGGCATCAAATTGTTACCTTTTGTAATATCACTCTGAGTCCCCCTCAGGGTGAGGAAGGCGGAGCATAAATACTGTAAATAAATAAATAAATATCAAGGGTGTACTGGAAAGTTAAGCAAAACTTGGGACAAGAACTGTTTCTGAATTCTGTGAAAAGTTGTAGACCAAAATTGGCAGTGGTTCTCAACCTTCCTCATGCTGCGACCCCTTAATACAGTTCCTCATGTTGTCGTGACCCTCCAACCATAAAATTATTTTCATTGCTACTTCATAACTGTTTTGGTACTGTTATGAATCCTAATGTAAATATCTGATATACAGGATGTATTTTCATTCACTGGAACAAATTTGGCACAAATACCCGATACGCCCAAATTTGAATACTGGTGGGGTTGGAGGGGATTGATTTTGTCATTTGGAAGTTATAGTTGCTGGGATTTATAGTTAAACTACAATCAAAGAGCATTCTGAACTCCACCAATGATGGAATTGAACCAAACTTGGCACACAGAACTCCCATGACCAACAGAAAATACTGGAAGGGTTTGATGGGCATTGAACTTGAGTTGTAGTTCACCTACATCTAAAGAGCACTGTGGATGCAAACAATGATAGATCTGGACCAAACTTGACACGAATACTCAATATACCCAAATGTGAACACTGGTGGAGTTTGGTGGAAATAGACCCTGACATTTGGGAGTTGTAGTTGCTGGGATTTATAGTTCACCTACAATCAAAGAGCATTCTGAACCCCATCAATGACAGAATTAGGCCAAACATCCCACACAGAACCCCCATGCGCGACAGAAAATACTGTGTTTTCTGATGGTCTTTGATGACTCCTCTGACACCCTCTCGCATCCCCCAAGTTGAGAAATGCTGAGGTAGGTGCTTCAAAATACCTTCAGGCAGGAAGAGTTGGAAAAGGCTGGCAACATGTCCCAAAGGCTTCCTGAGACTCCTTAGCCAATAAGCCAGCTTTGCAGAGAGAACACATTAGTAGAACATATTGCAATGTAATCCTGCCCACCTGAAGTCAGTACATATAAAAGAGCTTGTGTTAGATGCAGTTGTCATTACATTGTGGTCTGCCTAAGCCACTATTAATGCCTTAAAGTCTTCTTGATTTACATGGCAAATTAAAGCTTCATTAGTGAGTAAAGCTTTGAGTTGAGTACCTGGCTTGACTCATAATGAGCCTGATTTTTCTGAGCTTTGAAAGGAAAACTATCGGCTTTTTCTGAGCCTTTTCTTTTAATACTGTATCTGTTTACCAGTGTATTTACAGCAAGCAGTACATAAAACGCAGAAGGATTGTTGCTATTTGTACAAAACTCCCCCTGGTCTCAAAATCTTTTACCATCTCTAAGTTGCAACTGCTGCCAAAGTAGCTATTAAAATGCAGCTTATCCTCACTTTAAAAACCACAACTCTCCAAAGGCAGATGAATTTGAGAGCACTATAGATCTTCATTTACATGTCAATTGTAGCACAATCTATTTGTGAGGTCCATGGGATCAGAGCAATTCAAGTGAGAAACATTTGCAGTTGGCCCAGACAGAGACAGAAAGAGATTGTATGTACATAGCTCCAATCAACCCTTGGAATAAGAGGGTTTCCCATCTTTGTCTGAAACCTAGGTCACAATCAGGTAATTCTTAGCATCTGAGGCTAGTAGAAGCAATGGCAAGGAATGCTGGGAGTTGCAATTCAACAGTATCTTGAAGCTCATACCTTTCTATTCCCTGTGGAAACTAATCAACTACCCTCAGGTATCAAGAAAAACTCTCATTGACAAAACTGGAGCTATTTTCCTTTGCTTTTCCAATCTGTACATGGAATTGCAAGCGTCAATAAGTTGTCCTTTCCTAAATTATCCTTTGTGGACCTGTTAGATGGGTACTCCTTAAACAGATTTTATTTATTTATTTATTTATTTGCAACATTTATATGCCACCCTTCTCACCCCAAAGAGGACTCAGAGCAGATTACAAGTAATATGTAATACAGTATATTATATATATAGCGTAGTATTAATATTATATATTACTATATTGTACTATATCATTATAGTAATATTACATGTAATAATGTCCAAAATAGTGACCGCGATTGTGGCGCAGCTGACTGAATGTCAGCTGCATTAAGATCACTCTGACCAGAAGGTCATGAGTTCGAAGCCAGCCTGGGTCGGAGTGAGCTACCGGCCAATTTTGTGTAGCTTTTTGTCGACCTTTGCAACCCGAAAGACAGTTGCATCTGTCAAGTAGGAAAATTAGGAACCACCTATGTGTGGGGAGGCTAATTAACTAATTTATGAGGCCATAAAAAAGACTCCAGCAAAGCACTCCAGCAAAAGTATGCGGGGAATGCGGAAGTACTTCATCAGTGTCGCAGATGGACAATGAAAGCGACAGCTCCCTTGGTGGCCAGAAAAAGTTAAATAGCCTCTGTGTATGTCTATATACATTGTATGTCTAATTGGCATTGAATGTTTGCCATATATGTGTACATTGTAATATGCCCTGAGTCCCCTGCGGGGTGAGAAGGGCAGAATATAAATGCTATAAATAAATAAATAAATAAATAAATGTAGAGACATCACACTGGCAACGAAGATCCGCATAGTTAAAGCAATGGTATTCCCCATAGTCACCTACGATGTGAGAGCTGGACCATAGGGAAGGCTGAGCGAAGGAAGATAGATGCTTTTGAACTGTAGTGTTGGAGGAAAGTTCTGAGAGTGCCTTGGACTGCAGAAGATCCAACCAGTCCATACTTCCAGAAATAAAGCCCGACTGCTCATTGGAGGGAAGGATATTAGAAGCAAAGATGAAGTACTTTGGCCACATAATGAGAAGACAGGAAAGCTTGGAGAAGACAATGATGCTGGGGAAAAGGGAAGAGGGGGCGACCAAGCAAGATGGATGGATGGCATCCTTGAAGTCACTGGATTGACCTTGAAGGACCTGGGGGTGGTAACGGCTGACAGGGAGCTCTGGCGTGGGCTGGTCCATGAGGTCACGAAGAGTCGGAAATGACTGAACGAATGAGCAACAAAAACATGTAATATAAAATATATGATTATAATAATATATTATGAGTAGTATTATATTGTATTACATTATAATATTATCAATATTACATATATATACATATTATATTATATTATATTATATTATATTATATTATATTATATTATATTATATTATATTATATTATAAGCACAGCACAGGAGACAAGATAGAAGTGCCTTCCTGGCCCCTTTCTTCCTATATCAAGGGGTGACAGAACCATCCCATGGGAGATATGGACCTGATTTATGGCCACTAGTAATGCTGCTTGCCATTTGTTTTAGGAGGAGCCTTCAGTGGCAGGTTAAACCCTTGTGCTTGCAGGACTGAAGACTGACAGGTCGGAGGTTCGAATCCGAGGAGAGCACGGATGAGCTCCCTCTGTCAGCTCCAGCTCCCCATGCGGGGACATGAGAGAAGCCTCCCACAAGGATGGTAAAACATCCGGGCATCCCCTGGGCAATGTCCTTGAAGACAGCCAATCCTCTCACACCAGAAGCAATTTGCAGTTTCTCAAGTTGCTCCTGACACACAAAAGAAACAAGAAGGCAAAAACTCTGTTTGTGTGCCAGAAACTTCATGAAACCTGTGGAAGGCACATTTCCTCTGGCCAGGGCAAAGTTGTGGCCCCTTAATCAATGTTGTACGCACATATCTTTTCACAAGAAGAGCAATCAGGGACAGCCATGTATAACCCAGAAACAGGACCCTGTTGTTGGATGCCACAAGTACACAACCAAATCTGTGTAGACAGATGGCCAGGCAGCCAGGCTGTAAAAATAGTAGATAATGACAAAGATCTTAAAAGTGTGTGTTCCTGTTTATGTACTGCTGACTTAGGCAGTAGTGGTCATATCTCATGAGGTTTGTTTGTGTGGGAGATAAAACGCCTGGAGGACAAAAGAATGGAACTTTTGTGGTTATTTGTACATACAAATCTCTGCATATCCACATATCCATATCCCGTGAGGGTTTTTTTTTAAACTGCTGGTTTCCAGCAGAAGTCCTAAAGTGACCATCTTGGGAGCCTCTAAATCTTGGAACAAAACATCAAGATTGGGCAATGGAGACAGCAATCTCAGGACCAACAGGTCTGTATGTGGACCTCTCCTGAAGTCCCAGGATTTTTTTGCCCCTCACTAAAACCCATGATTAAGTGCTGTCTGGAAGCGCCCTTTGTTGATTATGATGTTTTTGCTCTTGATTACAACAACAACAAAAATACTAGAAGTACCTATAGTCTTGAAAAGTTTTTTATGCAGAATACTGATGTAAGGTAGACTTCTCCAATCCAGCCATGATGTGTAGTACAGTCCCCATTATCCACAGCCAGAAGGACTACAAATAACAGAGCGGCATTCCAAACAACTCTGAATGAAGATGTCAAGTTGAGAAAGCATTGATTAAAGATGAATAGATGTGTATGTGTGTTATTCACTGGATGTCTTTTTCCCAGCAGACATCTCCATCTGAAGAAGCCATGAAGAAACAATTTCTGACACCCCAGCGCCTTTCAGTAGATCATCCTGAGGAACATTTTCAAAGGCAGCGTGCGGTGAGCGCCGTCAGTATCATCACCAGTGCCATGGAAGGTAAGATAATTTTTTTTCTAAAGTGTTTCATTGCTATAACGAGAGTAATGACATTTCGTTGCTTTTTCGTTATTGTAATTGTCCTGAGTTCCCCTTCAAAACAGCCTTAATACAATGTTGAAAGTAAAAGAAAAATGCTTTACTTCAGCAAACTCAAAGGATAAGCAAATGCAACTGAAAATGCGAAAGAAAGCAAGGAAGACTTAATGCAGACACAAATTAAAGTCTCTTACAATGTCCCAAAAGAAACAGCAGTCTTCCATCAGACAACAAGCAATGATCACTAAGTCCTTAGCAGCAGACACAAAGCAGGTTCAATTGGAGTGAAAACATCGGCATCAGAGTTGTTACCAGTGAAAGCTGACTGCTCCTGTTTCTGATTTATAGCCCTGAATTCCTCACGCAGGAGGTGCTAGGGCGTCTCCCAATTAGCTCAGCATTTCTAGCAGCGTTTCTAGCTGAATGTCGTCTGTGCTCTGTCTCCTTTCATCTCTCTAGAAATGTGGGCACTTGTAAAACCTCATCGTCTGATTCTTCTTCTCCCTCCAAATCCTGAGTCCTTTGCTGCTCCCCTTCCTCTTCCGAATATGAGGAATCCCTAACAGTAACTGGCCAAGTGGGAAAACTTCAGGGGCTCCTTTCGCCTTCATTGGGTGAAGCTTTTCGGGTGAAAGTTACTACAATGGTAGAGTACATTTACCACTGTTAGCCCATCAATTTTTAGAACATTTTACTTATCCATGGTGTTTTGGGGAATTTTCAAAGTTTTTATAAGCAACTTTTTTTTAAAGCTACAAGAACTATCTTCTTGAATTTTCTATACAATGACACAAGAGAACAGGGGATCATTCCCCCCAACTTTCAGAAATATTCATACAACTACTGATTTTAGGTATTTTTTAAAAGTTTTGACAAAAACATTCTTTTTTTAAAAAAAGAATAGCCACAACATTCATCTGACTTGAATGTCTCTCATATTAAGCAATAGAACTTCAGTTTAGGGATTTCTTCCCAGCCCAGCAATTTACTTATTAGAAGTATCAGTCTTTGCAGATTCAACAATTTGTTGGAACTCTGGCTGACTGCTGCTACGAAGGGGTACATCTCTCCCCTCTCCTGACTGGGGCTTTCTGATGCAATTCTTCTTTAAATTAATGGTCCCTTGCTATTAGGGAGAGGGAAGCAGCAGGGAGAAAGCAGAGTTCACTGGGAAAGAGACTGAGAAAACACAGAATTCTGGGAAATGTGATTTAGGGCAGGGCCTTTTGAATTCTCTGGTATAAGGCTCCTCGCCTTCCCAGACTACATTTCCCAGAATTCTGTGTTTTCTCAGTCTCTTTTCCAAACTCTGCTTTCTCTCTGCTGCTTCCCACTCCTAATGGCAAGAGGCCATTAATTTAAAGAGGAATTGCAGCCTTTTTGGCTTTACTTTGCTTGCTTGCACTGAAAATAAATCTGACTTTGGGAGGCTTCTGGGGTTTACAAAATTCAAACAAAAAGTATTGGGTAAGTTTTGATTCTTAAGTTTTTGATGCGGTCAGATGTTCGGATATCATGTCGTAAGTATGAATTTAACAAATTTGTTCCGACTTACGACAACTAACAAAAATTTTGCACGTCTCTTATATATGATTGTACAGTTACAGAATATTTTTCCTTAGTTCTTTTTCAAACACTGATTTTTAAAGAAATGTAGTTCATATTTATTTTTTATTTATTTATTTCGGTTACTTCTACCCCGCCCTTCTCACCCCGGAGGGGACTCAGGGCGGCTTACAAAGGCACAATTCGATGCCGGCATCAACATAACAATAGAATAAAAACAATATAGCAGCAGTTAAACAATTAGCAATCGGTTTCTGCATTATAACTATAAAACCAATAAAACCAATAGAACCCAATTTCACACAATTAACGCTCAGCGTTCCCCATCTCATAGTCCAATTTCCAATTCCACTTTGTCAGTCCTAGTCTCATTGTCCTTATCTAGTTGTCAGATTGCCCAAAGGCCTGGTCCCACAACCACGTCTTTAATTTCCTCCTGAAGGAGAGGAGGGATGTTGATGACCTAATTTCCCCTGGGAGTGAGTTCCACAGGTGAGGGGCCACCACTGAGAAGGCCCTGCTCCTCGTCCCCACCAACCTCACTTGTGATAGCGGTGGGGTCGAGAGCAGGGCCTCCCCAGATGATCTCAAACTCCGGGGTGGGACGTAGAGGGAGATGCGTTCGGACAGATACTGGATATATATATATATATATATATATATATATATATATATATAATCTTTATTAAATATTTACAGATTACAAAGCTAAATTTTTTAAAAGAGAAAAAGGAAAACAGAAAGAAAAGAAAAAAGGGGAGAAATGGGGAGAGTTAAAATGAGGGAAAGGGGTACATATATATCCATACAAGTATGTATGTTTATGTTTATATATACACACATGTACACACATGTACATATATAGACATACCAATTTGTGAGGTATCAATGGGAGGGAGGAGAAAAGAATATATATATATATATATATATATAGAGAGAGAGAGAGAGAGAGAGAGAGAGAGAGAGAGAGAGAAAGGTTTCATTTCCAAGCTTCTTCCTGGAGGGTTTTTTCCCTTTTCTTTCTTTTCCTCCCCTGTTTCTTCTTTTTTTAAAATTTAGTTCTTCTGTCCTCCATTCTTACTTGCCCAACTTTGCAAAACAAGAGTAATTCTTTAGCTAACAGAGTTTAACTATAGAAGGTCTCCTCCCTGTTTCTGATAGATGAAGAATGCTTTCAATTCACATGCTATTAGGCATTCAGGATGTGTATAAATACAGATTCGCAACAATAAAGCATCTCTAGAATGGAGTCCAATAAAAGAGATGAAACTTCTGCTTTTGCTCGACACTTCACATTTGAGGTTGCAGAGATGTGTGCGGGAGGTTGAAGGGGTTAAAAATGGAATGCAACATTTCAAAGCACAAGTGGCAGAATAATGCTTTTGAATTTTACCTTTTGTATAAAACAAATTGCCTGCAAACAGAAGAAAAGTACACATAGGGGAACTATTGTAGCCGAGCCCTTTACTGAACATCTATTTGCAAAGAGGTTTTTCCTTCTTAAAATGGAGAAGTGAGCTCAAAAATTCCACTGTAGGATACCAGCCAACATTTTATATAAGAAAAGTGAGACAAACAACATCAAAGTTTGGTGAGGATGGAAAAATCTGTTACTGAAGAAGAGCAAACAAGGTTGGAGAGGCCGCAGCAATTTGTTTTTGCCTGATCTTACTGGGAAGTACAAGTTTGCTATCTCTTTTCTCTTTCCTCCAGAGAACTGAGTTCAAACTGCTTTTGCCCTTTGAACTCAATTTGTAGCCATTGAAGTAAGATGAGGACTAAGGCTTCATCTACACTACCATATAATCCAGTTTCTTAATTCAGATTATCTGCTTTGAACTGGATTATATGGCAGTGTAGACTCATATAATCCAGTTCAAAGCAGACAATCCCAATTTAGAAACAGAATTATATGGCAGTGTAGATCCAACCTAAGGACATCTAGACACCCCCTTTATTGTGGGAACTTTCGCAATAAAAAGGGGGCTGTCCAGACAATATCCTGGACAAACCCAAATTAATCTGCCACAAAGCAGGAAAACTCTGATTTCTGGCAAATTAATTTGATACTGGGTTGATTCTGCACCTTCTTGGAAGGCGTGGGATAAACCCACTACTTCCGGTTTCTGGACTGCAGTCCGGACACCATTCCCACAGTTTTCCAGACTAAATTAGCCCAGAAAGCTGTGGGATTACCAACCCCCTCCCCAAAAGACCCCAAAAGCCTTCTTTAAACGAAAAGTACTTACCTGGCCCTCATTGGATAGCTGCCACAGCTCTCCTAGCATATAGAAAATAGCTTCTGCCCACCTCTTCTCCTGATGTATTATTTCTATGTGCCAGGAGAGCTGCAACAGCTCTCTAATGGGGGCCGGGTAAGTACTTTTCTTTTTAAAATGGCTTTTTGGTGTCTTTTGGGGAGCGGGTTACAATGTCACAGTGTTCTTCCAGGACTTCCCAGAAGAACATCTGGACACCCACCCAGAAAATGTGCGCTTTCTGGGGTGTATGTAGATAGGTTCCAAGGAACATCTATAGTTCATAAACACGGATGCTCCTGTTATAACAGCCAGTCTGGAAAGGCCCTAAGAAGGAAGGTGGAGAGAGAAACTGGGACATTTTTAAAGCAATTGAAAAAGTGAGATGGCAGAAGATTAATTAAAAGTGTTTTACCAAATTTTTGTGTATTCCAACAATATCTAAGGGGCTGATAGTTCCTGCTCCTCATTCAAGGCAATGGTTTTTAATTGCGGCGTTATATTTAGATGATCCAAAGCTTGACAACTCCCATAATCCCCCTTCCACTGGTCATGCTGGCTGGATGCTTCTGGAAACTGTAGTTCAAAAGTGTGATTTTTTCCTAGACTGCTATGAACAACACTGACCTTCCTGTGTTCAAAGACTTCCATGTGGGCGGGTGGGAGAGAAAAGAGAGTCCACGTTTCATTCGGTGTTGCTTCCTGAAGAAGCAAAAGATGGCAGTGGCCCAAGTGTTTCTGCATGGGTCACCTTTAACTATGACTGTCATGACTGCCATGGGTTTCAGAAAGGGAAGCGTGTAAGAAAGAGACATATAGCTGATGCAGTTCTTTGCCATGTTATACTGCTGCCGGGGTTGGCCAAGCGGCAGGAAACAAGGTCATTTGGATAAGTCCGGATGCTAGTTTTGCTTGCAAGGAATTACAGACTTGCATCCTATTGTGAGGAGAATCAAAAACAGTCCCATGGAAGGAATGAGATTTACTTATTTGTTGGTTAATTATTTCAGAATTGTTTCAGTGGGTCTACTCTAAATTAAAACCATCCAACAGGAGTTCACACTCTCCATTTCAGAGTATGTTAAGATGGCAAAAGGAGGGAGAACACAACAGTTCAAGCAGGCTTGGGCAAACTTTGGCCTTCCTGGTGTTTTGGACTTCAACTCTTCAACCCACTGTTAGGAATGGTGAGAGTTGACATTCAAAACACCTGGAGGGCCAAAGTTTGCCCATGCCTGGTGTAGATGCACCCATAATTGAAATGAATGGGATGTAGGCTAGGACTGGGAATTATGAATCCTTGTAAATGTTGTTGTACTTCAACCAGCCCTGCTGGGAGTTGTAGTTCAACAACCTCTAGATGGCCACGTGATTTCCACCGCTAAGTTAGACCAAAGGCTGGCTTGGTTTTTTGCTGTTTGTGTTGTCACTTCAGTTCACAGACCTAATGGCTAGAGCATCTGAGCTGAGTTGGGGATTTTTCTTGCTTATACCCCATTACCATTTGCAGGGATGTAAATATTTGCCTGTTTTGCCTTCCCATGGAAAGACAAATAATTTCCCATTCCTCCTTGCTAATGGATAAAACAAATATTTTGTTGCACGGCCTGCCTGCCTATCTTAGGGAAGTAGTCTCTTCAGAAATACAGATGTGCAAAACTAAAAGCATTGATGCAAAAACACTTTTACACTAAGCACCTCTTTTTTCTAGAACTCTTATATATTCAAAATATCTGGTTTTCCACAAATTTTGCATACAAAATTGCACAATTCTGCAAACAATCTTTTTGGTTGAGAAGAAGTGTGTGAAACAAGAAATAAAAATGCATGTGAGCTTTTTGAGGAGAATTAGTCTTTTACATTGTGGAAAGAATGTGTATGTATATGTACACATATGTATATGTATATATACTTCATATGTTTGTATGTACGAGGGGTATTTTTAAAGTAAGGTCCGTTTTGTTGTAGACACTAGTAGTTCGCGCACATACTGCAACGAGCATGTGCGTTGTGTACCGGCATGCCTCGGGAACAACTGTGCTCAGTTTCTGCTCTGTAGCTAACCTGTATGGTTCTGTTCTGTGCTTTAAAAATGTTTAAGACTATCAACTCACCCGCCGCATGTGAGGTTCGCTCAGTGATACGGTTTTTGTCAGCAAGGAACCTACCTGCTGCAGAAATTCATCGACAGATTTGTGAAGTGTACGGTGATACTGTTATGAGTGAAAGCAAAGTGCGTAAGTGGGTACGACAATTCAAAGATGGCCGTGACAACGTCCATGATGAGGACCACTCCGGTCGCCCTTCTTTGATTACAGACAATTTGGTGGCTTCAGTTGAAGCGAGCGAACCTCACATGCGGAGGGTGAGTTGATAGTCTTAAACATTTTTAAAGCACAGAACAGAACCGTACAGGTTAGCTACAGAGCGGAAACTGAGCACAGTTGTTCCTGAGGCATGCCGGTACACGACGCACGTGCTCGTTGCGGTATGCGCACGAACTACTAGTGTCTACAACAAAACGGACCTTACTTTAAAAATACCCCTCGTATATGTATATTTGCATACCCCTTCTCCCAATGCATTTCTGGAAGTGCGGTTTTCGGGGGGGGGGGAATGTTCCTATAATGGTAATTAGTAAGTACTATATTTTGTTAATGTTATATTATTATCTCACAATGTCTCACCACTCTATAAATCCAGAGTAGCACTAACGACAACAGTATCTGGCTAAAGTATACAAATGTGTCTGAAGACATAGCTCTCCTTTCTGGCGACTGTTTAAAGGTGCAATGAAGGAGTCAGTTTCATTCCTTGCCTGCGGCATCAGCTGACCTGCATGTCGTGTGTGCCTTGCTCCTTCTTTCTTAGAGCTTGAGGAATCCCAACAGAAGTGTCCTCCCTGCTGGAATCATTTTGCCATGAGGTACCTCATTTGGGAATGCTGCCCAATGTGGCTGTTGATCAAGGAAAAAATCAAGGTTATCATCATGGATCCATTCAGCGACCTGACAATCACCCTCTGCATCGTAATGAACACTCTCTTCATGGCCATGGATCATTACAAGATGACCAAAGAGTTCGAGGATGTGCTCAACATTGGCAATCTGGTAAGGAGACTCTTTGCAATATCAGTGCATTGATGCAGGAGGAAAAATGATTTCCTTGATGGACCATACCAAGGGTCCGTTAGCCAAGCAGCCCATTTTCATCAGGGTCCTGGTAGTTTTGGTGGACCAAAGCTGAATTTGGGAGCCCTTTCACACAGCCATAAAACCCAGAATATCAAGGCAGATAACCCACAATATCAGCTTTGAACTCGGTTATCTGTCTGAGTCCACACTGCCATATAATCCAGTTCAGTGTGGATTTTATACAGCTGTGTGGAAGGGGCCTGAGCCAACAGTGTTATATGACAGCTAAAAACAGCAATGCAATTCTATGCTTCATCAAGTAGGAGCCGCAGTGGCGCAATGGGTTACACCCGTGTGCCGGCTGAACTGCTGACCTGAAGGTTGGTGGTTCACATCCATGAGACAGGGTTTTTTGGTCGTGTCAGAAGCGACTTGAGAAACTGCAAGTCGCTTCTGATGTGAGAGAATTGGCCGTCTGCAAGGATGTTGCCCAGGGGACGCCCGGATGATTTGATGTTTTTATCATCCTTGTGGGAGGCTTCTCTCATGTCCCTGCACTGAGGAGCTGGAGCTGACAGAGGGAGCTCATCCGCCTCTCCCCAGATTCGAACCTGCGACCTGTCAGCCTTCAGTCCTGCTGGCACAGGGGTTTAACCCACTGCGCCACCGGGGGCTCCTATGAGATAGGGTGAGCTCCTGTCTTTAACCTCCAGCTTCCCATGCAGGGATATGAGAGAAGCCTCCCACAGGATGGTAACACCTCCGGGTATCTACAGGCAGCCAATTCTCTCACACTAGGAGAGACTTGCAGTTTCTCAAATCACTTCTGACATGATTTTTAAAAAATCAATAGGAGTACAGTGTTTAAATCGAAGGACAGAAATGGAATAGAAGGCATGCCCATCAGATTTGCAAATGACACCAAATTGTGAGATATATTTAATTTCACCAGAGGACAGGATCAGAATTCAAAACAGATTGGGAAGCTGTGCAAAAATTACCATAATGAATTTCAGTAGGGGGAAATGTACAATACAGGCAGCCCCCAAGTTACAAGTTGAATTTGTATATAAGTCAGGACAGGTATAGGTGACTCCAGCCATATATCTATCTATCTATCTATCTATCTATCTATCTATCTATCTATCTATCTATCTATCTATCTCTTTGCATAGCATAGGGAAGAGTTAACACCTTTGCTATGTGTGCCCCTGTTCAGAAAATTTCACCCCACTTTCCGTCCCCTGTGATAATTGAATTTTGAAAAGAAAATGGCTTGTTGTGGAAACAAGGATTTGTGAGAAAGCTTCGGTGGAGACATCTTTTTCTGCTGCTCTAGAGACTAGGACAAAATAAAGCAATCAAGTCAAATTGCAAGAAAAGGGATTCCACCTTAAACATTAGGGGGAAAAGTCCTAGAGCTGTTCAACAGTGGAATATTCTGCCTTGGAGTGTAATGAAGTCTCCTTATTTTGGGTTTTTTTTTTTACCTTGAGTCTGGATGGTAATCTGTCCTGACTCTGCAGAGAATGGTGCATGTTATGTTGCCATAAATATGGGAGACTGCCCATGATGATAACAGATTACTACCCTCTTCCCTTTCACAGATATTCACTGGGATTTTTACAACTGAGATGGTCTGTAAAGTCATAGCTCTGCATCCCTATTACTACTTCCAGCAAGGATGGAACATTTTCGACAGTATAATTGTTTCTCTCAGCCTGATGGAACTGAGTCTCTCCAGTATGGGGAATGTATCTGTGTTACGCTCCTTCAGATTGGTAACTTACTTTTTTATTGTCTGTCTATCTTTCATGCAGGGATGTAGGCACAATTAATTTTTTTGCACTAGTGTTGTGCAGCATCGACCAACACTACCATTCTCAATAGGTTAGCAATTGCGAGGTCAAGCAACACACATACACGTTCATCTGTTGAAGATGGTATCATCATGTGCTTGTGGAAATGGACCTTACCAAATCAGCAACACTACCTTTCAATCCCAAGATATTACTCTGTTTTGGAAAGGCATAACCTTTTGGGAAACCAGAAATCGCTATCGCCTTTTGGAAACATGACCCTTTTGGAGATCCATTCACATTATTTGAAACAATCATAACCCTTTTGTAAAATATGATATTCCTGAAAAGAATTAAATACTCATTTGAGCAAATCTTCTCCTTAGTGGGAAATACTACTATTCATGCATTGCAAATTAGGTATCTCAGTTGTTAGACTGATATACCTGGTTATCTCTCTGAACTGTTAGGAATAAAGATATGCTAATGTACAAAATATATAGCAGATCTTCAGAAGTGTGAATTCAGTTGCCCCAAAATATCTACTGTCCCATCAAATATACTGCTTTTAAATCATGCTCTCAAGAGACCTAAATAGGTAGTCTTAGTTAAAAGTAACATAGCTGATATACTGACAAACTTCATGTATTCAGCATACAGGTACATTTCTTAAACAGTAAGATCTCTAAAGCATTCTGTTTCAGTCTCTTCTTTCTTGCATACAGACTAACACCCCCTTCAGTCCAATACATTACTGAATATTGACTCAATAAAGCTTGACTACACACTACAGCATACTGACACTACTGACTTCTAAACTGCACTGCTTCTGATGCAAACTTCTAACTTTTAAAATGGAGCCTCAGTCTATGCCGTCACGCCTGGGGGCTATAACTCTTAGTGAAAGAGACATAGACGTGACACCTTTCCCCCAGGGGATTGCTTCTTGCCCTCCTTTAGGAAACTGGAACTCCCAAGGACCAAAATACTATAGATAACTCAAAATAGGTTTTATTGTTCACAAAGAGTTATCCCTTTAAGGCAATAAGCTGGAAGTTTCAAAGGGAGTAAAGGAAATATACATTGCAGTCTCTGGTTGTCTTGGGTCCAAGGAGATCTTGCAGCTGAGAAGCTTTTCCTGTTCCCTCTTTTCTCAATGGCTGTGAAAGTTGGAACAAACACAACCCCCAGTCCAATGGCCTATGTTGAAGGCACAGAGTCTTCCTTTTGATGCCAAAGGACCGGTTTAAAGGCACTTGGGTCTCCTCAACGTTGTCCAGGGCGATCTGGGCATGAAGTATGAGTCCCAAGGGTAAAAACCTTAGAATTGGTGATGAGAGGTAACTTAATTAAGGGCTTTAGAGCCAAGTCTCTTTCTCATGTCTATCTGATAGAAAGTTTGATGGTAGAATGGAAAAGGAAAAGCTCTGCCCTCCTCCAGGAAGAGGTGGAGCCAAGCAATTGAGCTGAGGAAGCAATATAACTGGTGCAAACAACATTGATTGACAGCTATAAATAACCAATCAATCCAACTATACATTTACAAACTAGGCAAGTTTGGGCATGTTATACAGTTTAAACCTTTGCACTTTAAAGTTCTACACACTGGTGGCGCCACTCACGCCATCACACAGTCTGAATAGTCCCAGATCTGGTCACATGGTTTGTAGTCCCTCCCACAACCTCAAATAACATAGAGTTAAGGGAAAACCATATCAAAATATACATACAATATAGTAAACAATCTGAATTATATATATAACAAATACCTAGTATAAGAGGCTTGTAGAAGGTTGCTATTTCCAACACTCAGAAACTTTCAGAAGTAATCCTCTTGATTTTTAGGCCTGTTCCTGGGGTTATTTGGGTTGCAGATTCAGCAAATTGCATTGGATAGACTGCATCAGACATAGTTTCTTAGATCTAGTTATCATGATTTTCTATGGCAAGCAGATGAAGACTGGTGGATACTTGATAGGATATGTTCTGTACCTTCAAAACTAGAGCTGATAGAAAGAAACTGGTGTCATTTTTGGAATCAGCAGGTGAAATATACCCAGAAAGAGGGATAACATTTGAGGCTCCAAAATGTGTATTGGCCAGTGTTATTGAAGTCCGGCATCGTGTTCCCAGAGTTGCCAACTGTTTGCCTATCAGAAATACCACTAGTAGGCTTGATACATGAATTCAATAGGAATCTCCTATATGAAAGAATTGCATTTCTTGTATTGGAGAGAATAATAATATATATTCATTTTGATGAGTAAATAACCATACCCTTCTCTTCCATAAATTTCATCATCACAACAACATCTATGCTGGTGACAACCATTGCTTTATTACTCATTTCTCTTCCATATGGGAAGAACTGACAGGGTCACCTGTTTGAAAATGAAAATACGAGGGCAAAGCAGAAATATTGCATTTTGCTGGTGGGAAGGGTTGTGCGTATCATGCTGCTCTTTCTTCATTTGGACTATTTTTGGCACTTCTCATGACTACATTCATCTGTTTCTGGGGTTGTTTTCTTCTCAGCCATATCTCCATCTCCTACTTTTCATTTATAATTCCCCTGTGCTCCTTTAACATTGGTTGAGATGATGAAGATGGTGGTCATGATATTACAAAATTAGGAATAGGTTTGCATTGAGCTGCAATTTTGCTCCCATTGTCTCTTTGGTGGGCTGCATAATAATAATAAACAATAATAAATATTTATTTATACTCTGCTTTTCTCTCTTACGGCACCCAAAGCGGCTCACAACATCTTAAAATCATACAAACAACAGACCAAATACATCAATAATGAATATGAATATCATAAAATAAGCAATTTAAAAACTAAACTACAGTAAACAGTGACATTTGTGCGTCACATCATGTCAGGTTATTATTGCACTTCAGCCAGCAGGACTGAAGATCGACAGGTTGGAGGTTCAAATCCAGGGAGAACACAGATGAGCTCCTTCTGTCAGCTCCAGCTCCTCATGTGGGGAAATGAGAGAAGCCTCCCACAAGGATGGTAAAACATCTAGGCATCCCTTGGGCAACGTTCTTGCAGACGGCCAATTCTCTCATACCAGAAGCGACTTGCAGTTTCTCAAGTTGACCCTGACACGAAAAAAAAAAATTGCACTTTTTCACCTAACGTGACCAGAAGTGATATTTTACTCAACAGAAAGTGATTTTGGTCATTAGTGAACAGTTTCCCAAACTCTTTCCCCGATTTTCCAATGGAGATGGGGCCAAAACAACTTTTAGGGCCAGAACCAGGCTTAGCAGAGTGTTTTCAGCCATAATGAAAACAATCCTGACTATAGTCTTAAAAATGAATATATATAATCTGCAAGGGAAAATAGATTGGCAGATAGAATCCTGGACCATTTCCCCCCAAATTCTATTATTTTATCTATTCATTTGTTTGTTTTGGGGTTGGAAAGCATTTGTCCTGCAAGCCTCTACCTCAGGGCCAAAGCGGTACAGTCCTACCATACAGGCTGCATTAAAGAGAGCTTGACCAAATCCTTTTCTGTTGCTATTGTCTCAGTACAACCATCAGTTTATTTGTATGCAACTTTCTTACAAGATTGCATGCAAAGTGGTTCATAACATTTTACAAATATTAGCTTTAAAAACCTTGTATTTCTGTTTGTTCAACAATTTTGTCATAAAAGGAACAGGGCCAATTAACAGATGACTGCAGTGTCAATAAAGACATGGCTAAGAAAATATCAAGCTTTGCATAAAACATAAATACACCTGTGATAGGCCACCAGCTTCAAACTAAACAGAAGAAAAAATGAAGATGGATAGCATTTGTTTTGGAAAATACATTACATGAGAGACTACGTACAGTTTCCTTCCAAAAGATTTTCCTTAGAACAGTGAGTGTGTGTGTACATACATATTGAAATCCATTGAAATCCACAAGCATGTGGACAATTTCAACAGAAAGGAAGAAACCATGAAAATGAACAAAATCTGGCTACCAGTATTAAAAAACTCAAAAATTACAACAGCAAAACAACAGAGAGTAAACAATCAGGCACATCAAATCACCCTCAACAAAAGATTCCCCCAGTCACTTCCAAGCCATCAAATGCTAATCAAAGTGGTCAGTTGAAACATTCACACCTAGCTCCAGCAGACAAAAGTCCTTTGTCCCAACCTTGTCATTCCACAGATATATAAACCAATTTTCCTACTTCCAACAGACCGCACTACCTCTGAGGATGCTTGCCATAGATGCAGGCGAAACATAAGGAGAAAATGCCTTTAGAACATGGCCATATAGCCCGGAAAAACCTACAACAACCCATATTGTTATTGTTTTTCATTCATACAGTTGTTTCCAACTCTTTGTGACCTCATGGACCAGCCCACGCCAGAGCTCCCTGTTGGCCGTCACCACCCCCAGCTCCTTCAAGGTCAATCCAGTCACTTCAAGTATGCCATGTATATGTACATACATATACACATAATAAAAGTGAAAAACGTGTTTGTGTGTATGTAGTGGAGGTGTGCACTTACACAGACAGCCTCTCGCCTCCACAAACAAGCTTTAATTTCAAGTGCTGAGAAGCCTCCAAAGGCACTCCTTCCACTGACATTGCAGGTTATAGTGAGCACCATCAACACATAGCCAAATGCTGCTAATGTCCTCCCCAAAAACTATGGCCTACCACCCAAGGAATGCTTTCATTCCATGACTATTTCATCCTAGATTTGATCTGTTTTCTCCACCACAGGCAGACATCTCAGGGTTCCTTGTGTGGAATTTGCATGAACCCGCCCATGCTTTCCTACCCTTTCCTATGGCACACAGCAAACAGAGAGGAATTGGTCAGCAACTGAATAGACTGGAGGGGTTTGGGGAACTGACTCAACAGGATGGAAGTTGTAGTTCACCCTGCAGCCAGAGAAACTGTGACCCCCACCGACAATGGACTGGGACCACACTGGGCACAGAGAAACCCCCTGACCAACTGGACATACTGCAGGGGTTTATGGGAATTCACCTTGATTTTGGAAGTTTTAGTTCACCCTTATCCAGAGAGCACTGAATCCATCTGACATCAGATCTGGACCACACTTGGCACACAGACCCAGAATGGCCAGCCGTGCATACAGGCCTATTATTTTACTTATTACAGGTACTTTTACCCCGCCCTTCTCAACCCCCAAGGGAGGACTCAGGGCGGCTTACAAAAAAGGCACAATTTGATGCCTATACACTTTACACAAAATATACAAAACCAAAGTTAAAAACAGTTATCACAATTAAAACAATCCACAACTAGTACATAACACATCATATAAAAATCATATAAAACTATTCTCGTGCCCAGCATTCCATCTTTCAGAGTTCCATAGTTCTAATCCATTAATCATTTCCTAATCATCGTCAAAGTTCTTTCTTCATCTGCCCAATTGTCCGAATGCCTGGTCCCAAATCCATGTTTTCAGTTTTTTCCTGAAGGAAAGGAGCGATGTTGCAGATCTAATTTCCCTGGGGAGTGAATTCCACAGGTGAGGGGCCACCACCGAGAAGGCCCTGCTCCTCGTCCCCGCCAACCTCACTTGTGATAGAGGCCTAGTTTAGGGAGGATTGGCCCATGATTCTGGGATCTGTAGTTCACCCACATCGTTATGTATTTTCTAGTGGGAGCATTCATAAACAACAAAATTAAAAACTGGCTTTTTTTCTCATAAATAGTGTTATTGATTAACTAAATGATATTACCCAACATCCCAAAACAAACAATGCCTTTTTCAAATAACCCGGGCACCGCCAGGTAACCAAGCTAGAATACATATTGTCTTGGCATATTTATTCAATTTTGCATATTTATGCAGATGTGCCGGTAACAACACATCAAGTGTCAGGTCCTTTTTTCTCCCCTGCCCCCTCCCTTGTCTAATTTATACAGGCATACCTCAGTTACCAAGACCTTTGGCAAATGAGCTTTTTTTATGTAGTAAAGTCCTTTATGGAAACCTCGTCCGCTTTTTCTTCCTCTTGTTCTGTCAAGCTGGAAGCTTTTAAGCAGCACTGACATTGGGAAGTTGGTGAAGGAGATCTCTGGAGAGGCACAGACTTTTGGAGTCAGCAGAGTGACTGCAATAAATAACATAATAAATGTTTTGACTCTTTGCAATGCACGGCATAGTGGTTTGAACTACTGGATTATTACTTTGTAGATAAAGGTTCAAATACCTGCTCAGCCATGACCCTGGTCAACTTACATACTCTTAGCATCAGAAAACCCTATTATAAGTTGATTTATTTTTGAGTCACCGTAAGTCGTAAACAACTTGACAGCTCACAATAATAATAACACTGCAGTGCAAGGACTACCTGACCTGGTTGTTTCATTTCATATATGCACATTGTTAGTTTGGATAAAAATGTTTGCTGAAGAATGTTGAATGGCTCTCCTGTTTTGTAGTGTAGGATATATCTGTCTGTGGTGCCAAATTTGCTGTTAAACATAGAGCACCCAAGAATCCATCTACTTCATTGACTGAGGTATATCCATCATTGTTTAAAATTAAATAAGGTGTCACATTAAAAACATTAATTTAAAATAGTTTTAAAAGTGTTTAAACCATAATGACGGAAAACAAAACACAGCACTTACCATTAAAGTTTCTTTTGCAATGCCCATTTATTTAATCCCAAGAGAGAGCTCTCCCTCAATATGATTTTGAACACATCTTTTTTCAATGTATTGTCGAAGGCTTTCATGGCTGGAATCACTAGGTTCTTGTGGGTTTTTTCGGGCTATAGGGCCATGTTCTAGAGGCATTTCTCCTAACGTTTCGCCTGCATCTATGGCAAGCATCCTCAGAGGTAGTGAGGATGCTTGCCATAGATGCAGGCAAAACGTCTGCATCTATGAGACTACCTCTGAGGATGCTTGCCATAGATGCAGGTGAAACGTCAGGAGAAATGCCTCTAGAACATGGCCCTATAGCCCGAAAAAACCCACAAGAACCTACATCTTTTTTCATTTGTTCTGCTCTAATACCAGAATTATTTTCCCTGTTCTGCTTTGCTTTAAGTGTTCAGTTATGTTTTCCATGGTTTGTCTTACAGCTAAGGGTCTTCAAGCTTGCAAAGTCTTGGCCAACACTCAACACTCTCATTAAGATCATTGGAAACTCTGTGGGTGCGCTGGGGTACCTCACTGTCGTTCTCGCCATCATTGTCTTCATTTTTGCTGTGGTTGGGATGCAGCTGTTTGGGGAAATGTATTACAAGAACGTCAACAAGATCAGCACCACAGGAGAATTGCCGCGCTGGCATATGAAGGACTTCTTCCATTCCTTCCTCATCATCTTCCGCATTCTTTGCGGGGAATGGATTGAAACTATGTGGGATTGTATGAGAGTCGATGGACAGCCTCTGTGTCTCCTGGTCTTCCTGCTGATCATGGTGATCGGGAATTTGGTGGTAAGTACCCCAATCCTACTTTCTTACTGTGTGCACCAGCTTTCATGGATTCTATAGCTTGAAGTCTTTAGGTTGGATTAGTCTTTAGGTTGGATTAAACTCAGGTGCACATCTTCTTTGGGCATTATAGGGCCATCAAAAGAAATCAATAGCAAGAATTCACAAATCTAAACTGATCACTTGCTCATGGGTAGGATCAAGATAAGCATCCCCTGCTCTAAGCAGGTAAGTGTTCAATTGGATCATCAAATCACATCCTGCCCAGATGGGAAAGTTAGGAGTGAGGCTATTGGGGGCAGCATGGATATTCTGAAAATGAGGTTTCATTTGCAATACGAGTAACATGCAGATATGAACTTTATCTCAACAAGGATGGCGGCCCTTGTCTGGATTCAAAGTTTTGTGGAATGTTACTTTCCTTGTTTTTTTACTTGATGTCACAATAAGGAGTTGGGTACTTTGGCGATCCTTCCAGAGAACATGCTTTGGAACTTGTATTCTTGGGTATGCCATTGTTGAACAATAATAATAATAATAATAATAATAATAATAATAATAATAATAAACCTGCCCCATCTCCCCAAAGGTACTCAGAGTGACTTACGGTACCCAAAGTATGTCATTCAATTATATGCACTTGAGAAGAACTTGGAGATTCTTAGTTTTTCTGGAAACTTTGTCAAGCCTAGAGTCCATTAGTTAGGTTTTAGGTCTCGTTCACTGTATTCCTGCAATCACAGGGGAGATAAGCATTGTCTAACTTTGTGTGGTTTCAGTGTTTGTTGTGTAATTGTATAAGCTGTGTTGATTGTATAGAACAACCTTCTTCCCCTTGGTATCCCTCAGATATGTTGAATTATAACATATCATCTTCAGCCAATGTGACCATTTATTAGTTGATGACAATGATGAAACTTCAATCTAACCTATTCTGAGGACACTAGACTGAAGAAGGTCAATATAGGTCATTGATACCCAGTTGGATTCCACACTGCTGCACACTACATAGATACACCAAGCCCATGTAGGGCAACCTCAACAAAAGTGGCTCCCATATGTGCTACACGTGACATTGTCACAATCCACTATATTAATCTAGTGTATAAGTGGAAACATGTAGCACTCCAGACATTGCTATGCTCTGCCAACTCTAGCCAACATGACCAGTGGTCAGAGATGATGGTTATCATAGTTCATCAGCATTTTGAGTGTCTCAAGAGTTCTGCATCTGACCAAACTTTCAAGATCTGTTGACACCAACCAGCTGATTAAGCTTCTGCAAAGCTCTCCGGGTATCAGTGAGGTATGTTCAGTGTAGGGTGACTTATCTGAGCCTGAATTTACGATATGTGTGATCATCTAGGTGTTAACATTTGAGGCTGGGAAGGCATGTCAGCAATTCCTAAGCCTTTGGCATAAACTCGTGCTTCCTCAAATGCATGCTGGCACATCACAGCGCTAAGGCAAGGCTGCCAGTTTCCAGTCAGATGATGATGAGGTTTGGCGTTCCTGTAGAAATGAATATCTTGACCATAGCCACCAAATTAGGAGCTGTGTGGTTCTCTCTCGCATCATTACAATGCAGCGCCGTAATCACAGCTCTGTCTGAGTGTCATCAACGCATGCCGTCAAAGGTCTAGTGGAATTGGAGAACGGATGGAAGGCCTCTCACACTCATCCTGCAAAATGACTTCAGGATTATCCAGCCTGTATAATGATGTTTACCGTAAGATTTTTGCAAAATGGCTCAGCAGGTTTTAGATGGAAATGAAGGTCACGAGGGTTAATACAGGAAACCATGGGTTGGCAAGTTATTAAGAAACGATGGAGTGCCTCGTTAGCGGCACTTTTATCAGGCTTCCCGACGGTTGCCAACAAAATGTAATTGTACCCCACTCTGCATCATATGAAGTCACGCCGAGGAGCTGTGCCATCCCAACTGCCTCTCTGGGGAGACTTTAGTGGTGCGATTTTGAGAAGGTTTAACAGCCTTGCTCAGATGTGCAAACCTCGTTGCTGAAAGACAAAGAGGCGGCTTTGGGAATGGTGACCTCTAAACCTTGGTGCTGAACCTTTTTTTAAACCCTGAGTTCCAATCTACATGACTGCATTCTGGGTGTTTTATTTCTGAGCAAGGTGGCAGATGAATGGCGTCATGATGGAGAACTTGGGATTTTCAGTGGCACCACTCAATGAAATATTTCACTGCTATTACAGCTTAGCAGCCAAGAAACCTCCCATTTTATATTGTGCTTCAGTATCATCATTGTTGGTAACCAAGGGATTGTATTCCCACTACAATCTCAGGAGGGTTTGTTTGTGTGACCCAGTGAACCAAGGTTGGACAAAGTGCAGCCTTCTAGATGTTTTGGCCCCAGAACTCCCATAATTCCTCACTATTATCTATTCTGGCTAGGATTATTGGATAGAATACCCTCTCTAGAACTGATGAAGAGGCCATCCTGCCAAGGGTTGTGCTAGGCATGTGCAAATAAATTGGAAAGCCTTGTAAAATTCGTTAAATTTGTGCACAGTGCACACAAATCGAAACATGCAGGAAAGGTGTGTGGGGGGAGGGTGGGAATTTAGAAACGGAAACACTCACCAGTCATTCATTGACTTATACTACGGCTGATTTTGGCCTAGTTCCCCAGTCTATGCAATATCTCATTCAAGCAAAGAACCAGGCTCTCAGACTATAGCTATATTGTGAAAGGGTCCCAAATGGGGGTATTATTATAACACTGCCCAAAACATTGTCATCATCATTTACATAGGTGTAAATGAAATCAGGTAGGGCATTTTATTACCAGATTTTATACAGTTACAGTACACCACATACATTTCATAGGGTTTTCTTATGGAAGGAAAGAGGTGGTATTGCCAGTTCCCTCCTCTGAAATAGCGCCTACAGTACCTGGTGTTCATTGATGGCCTGTCATCAAAGGACGCTGCTTAGCATCCAAAATGACATGGGGTTTGGTGTCTTAAATTTCTTTATGTATTATTTATTTATTTCCTGCATTTGTAACCTGCCCTTCTCCCCCCAAGTGGGGACTCACACAGAGAGGAGAAGAAATGTGATCGTGAACAAAAGAAATGGGCAATGGGGTGGCTTCAGATAACAACAACAACAACAACCACAACAACACCTTATTTATATTCCACCCTATCTCGCCGAGGGGTCTCAGGGCTGATTCCAGCATATACAGACACAAGGCAAACATTCAATGCCTCGAAACAATTAAACACAGATACATAGATACACAGATAAAGGTAAAGGCTTCCCCTTCATCTTCAGCTCTGGAGGGTGGTGCTCATCTCCATTTCTAAGTCAAAGAGCCTGCAGTGTCTGTAGACACCTCCTAGGACAAACTAAGGCCTAGGGGCCAGATGTGGCCCCCTGGGTGCTTACCTGAGGCCCTCCTCATTTTGTCTGTCCTCTTGGCATAAGGCCATGGCGACTCAGTGCTTTCCTTTGGCCAAAAAGATGAGGGAGGAAAGCACGCAGCAACCCACTGGAGCACTCTCAGCCATTCAGTGTCTCAACCTCCTCCTCCTCCTCCCAGCATAAGGACGGTGCAAGCGGCACCTTCCTTGTGCCAAGAGGATGATTCGAGGAAGGCATGTGATGGCTGAGAGCTACCCAGATCACTGAAAGCTGTGCCTGACTCTTCCTTCTCCTAGCATAATGCCAAGAAGTTTGGGGGAGGAGGAGGATGGAGAGGAGGATCAGGGCAGTCTCCGTGTCTCCAGTCTTCCTCCCAGCATAAGGATGGGATAAGTAGCTCTGTTCTTATGCTGGGAGGAAAACATGAGGATAACCCAGGCCCTGCCTTGCCCCCTCCTGGCCTTGCTCTCTCCCAGTCCCTCGTTGTCCCCCTCCCAAGGCAAAAAGTTTGTCCATGTCTGTTCTGGGTCATGTCGCTGGCATGACTGCATGGAGCGCCATTTACCTTCCCACCTATTGATCTACTCACATTTGCCTGTTTTTGAACTCCTAGGTTGGCAAGAGCTGGGGCTAACAGCAGGAGCTCACCCTGTCCCATGGATTCAAACTGCCAACCTTCTGGTCAGCAAGTTCAGCAGCTCAGTGGTTTAATCCGTTGTGCCACAGCAGCCCTTGCTCTGTTGTGAATGTTAGAAATTTTCTTCAATTTACAGTCAAAATTCAGGAGAAGCATTGACTCAGAATCCAAGTGTGAATCCATGAAAAAAATGAAAGAGCCCAGGGAAGGAAAGCCAGCAATCCAAACAGGGAACATGGGGTAGACCTGCAGGCTGTGAATTCCTATCCAGAGAGTGGCCCCAGGCAGTTACCCTTCTGCAAGAATACTTATATGCTCTGATTTGGAAAATGTAACTCCTTCCTGCACCTGATCACATATTATAAGTTAAAAGATGATACATCATTTTTTTTTGCCATGGAATATAAATGTTGAGGTGTTAAAGCAATGACAATAGGGAGATGAAGGGATATATGGCTGACAAAAGGCTTTTGGGTAAAACTGAGTTGTTTCCAATCAAATGTTGATAAAATATGTTTGCTGCGCTTCTCTTCGACGTATGTAGGTCAGGTTTCCTGTGCACGGCAATGCAGTTACCATCTGAGACAATGTTTACATTCAAATATATATTTTCCCCTCCAGGAAGCAAATGTTTCGGCTCACAAGAACAAGGAGAGCGTTTGTGAAATAATAGTGTCTTCTTAATTTGGAGTTGAAGGGAGAGGGAAAGCCTGCAATTTTGAGATGTGATTTTATTTCTGTTGCTCGGTGCCCCAAAGTGGATGTTATTCCTTTTATCAACAATATCCCCTGGCTTCTAAATATTTAACAGATACAAAGTAGTTTGAGTGTATTTATTCAAGAGATCAAGAGCCTTAAAAAAAGCTAGCATGGTTAACTATGAGAGGGATTAGCCGCTGAAGGCAGACGTTTCTTCAGCTCTCGGATAAATACAGCCTGCGAACTGTGCCGTGTTAAAATCCAGAAAATGAT